AATTGTCACTAAAACTTCATTCACAGCTGGGCGCCAGTGGCTCATGCCTGTAATCCTAGCTTCTCAGGAGGCAGAGGTCAGGAGGATCACGGTTCGAAGCCAGGTTGGACAAATTGTTCTCAAGACCCTATTTCAGAAATACCCATCACAAGAAACAGTTAGTGGAGTGGCTCGAGTGATAGAGCACCTGCCTAACAAGCTTGAGGTCCTGAGTTCAAATCCCAGTGCCAAAAAAGAAAAAGAATGTGTAAGAACACATCCCCAGAAGTGGACTACTGGCATTGTGCCCTGTTGTTTTCCCAGGGCATTCCAGGTACAGTCCTCAACCCCCGGGAGCTTTCCCTGGCCCTCTCCCTCCTGCACCATGTGCGGGGCCTGTTTCTTTCCCTAACTTGCTCATCCCTATCCCCTAAAATTCCGGTTCTAGCCTTAAATGCAGCAGATGAGGAGCTCTTTGCCAGTAGACACCCAGTCTACTGTCTTCAGTGCCAGCCTGGTTCTCCAAGATGTGTCTAGACAACAGGGTTCTCTCCTGAGAGGACACCTGCCTCTACTCAGGTGAGCAGTTCTCATGGAGAAATACATGCTTGGGAACCTGTCACTGTGTGACCCCGAGTCCAAGGACACAGGCAGCCTGGTTCATTTCCGAATGAACACAGGCAGGGGGCCAAAGAGGTATCTGATAGCAATTTTTTTTTTTGGTGGGGGGTGGAATGGGACTAAGGTTTGAACTCATAACTTCGAACTGGCAAAGCAGGCTCTCTACTTTTGCTCAGTTATTTTGGAGATACGATCTTGAGAACTATTTGCCCAGTCTGGCCTCGAACTGTGATTCTCCCAATCTCAGCCTCCCAAGTAGCTAGGATTGCAGACGTGAGCCACCAGCACTCAGCTGATGGCCATTTGTTGAATGAATGAATGTCCCAGGTGGAATTTTTGTACAAACCAGCCTTTGTAATCAAAGGCTTGTCCTCCACTGGAGAAGTTAGGTGTGTCTTGTACACTTTGTTTCATCTATTTGAGGCAGAAAAAACATTCTGTTACTGGGTTTTTTGTTGTTTGTTTTTTGGGGTTTTTTTGTCCCCCTTTGGCCTGGCTGGAGTGTCGGGGGGGATCTCCAGAGCGGGAAACAGATACAATAGTGACTGCAAACATGAAATTGATGGGCAGACAGTTGCAATGACAGACACAGAGCGACACAGAAAGGATCAAATATTGACGCTGTGCACAGGTGGGGTGGGGCAGGGGAGGGGAATCCCCCGTCATGTCCCTGGCGGGTTGGGCAGGTGCAGAAGTGGCTCAGTTTCAAATCAACACTGGACCTCACCATCTACACACCCAAGGCTGGTCTTGGCAATCACCGTGCTCCAACCTGTTCTGCACAGCTTTCTTGGGATGTCCTCCTGTGAAACTCAGCTTCTTAACCATTGCCAGAGAGATCTTTTCAACAAGTCCCACGTTTTCCCTTCTCTTCTCTTTTTCTCCTCCTCTCTCTCTCTCTCTCTTGAGCTACACTCCCAGCCCTTGTTTTTTTTTCTTCACATAGGATCTCACTGTGTACTCCATGCTGGCTTCAAATTCACCGTTCCCCTGCCTCAGACTCCCAGTTTCTGGGATTGCAGCCTTGTATCATCACCGTGTCTGGCTTCCATATTGTTATTCTTTTTATTCTTCTTCTTATTATTATTATTATGTTCTCCCAACTTTTAGTTTTGAAAAGTTTCAATGAGCAGCCAAAGCTCAAGGATTGGCACCAATAGCCCAAGGACTGTTTTTGTCTGACACACGAGTGAAGAGTGGTTTTCACATTTTTAAGTGATCAGAAGCAAAATTAAAAAGAAGGAAGAATGTTTCACAAAACACAAAGATTAGAGGAAATCCAAGTCTCTGCACCTGTCAGAAGTTTGCCGGCTTGTTTACTCGTTGTTTACGGCTGTTTTTTGCACTACAAGGGCAGAAAGGTCTGAGCAGTCACAGAGACCTGGCTCTCAGCCCCAGATCCTCACTGCAGGGAAAGCTTGCCAGCTTGGACTTAGATTTGCTGATTGCTGACATTTTGTCCTATTTGGTTTCTCCCTTTCTTGCTGAAGCATTTGTGTGTGTTTTTGACACCTCAGCCCTAAATACTTCAGTGTCTGTTTTACTTAAAATGAAAGCTAGGAATACAAGAATCATGTGGGGAGAGACACAATGCACACACAGTGCTTGGCACGATAAAAATTCCTGGCACTTCTGAGCCTTTGCCTCCCTGAAACCCTAGTTCTGCAGTCTGGATGCCAGCTCTTCGTTGGAATGGACTTCTTCCCCAGAGAACAGAAAAACCTCCAGGAAAGCTCATTTTTTCCGCATCCTGTGGTTTGGCTGACTCAACTTCTGCCTTTCCCTGAGTCACGAGTTTTTCCTCTTACTGGGAAAAGCAGGGCCCTCCACCCAGGTCTCCCGCCCACCCACCAAAGCCCTGCAGGAGGGGGGCAGCTGGAGGACCAGGTTATGCTGCCCACAAGCAAGGGACTTCCCAGATCTCTGCTCACACCCACAGAATGTCCCAGCTGGAAGGGAGACAGAAGAGAAAACAGAGGTCCCAGTGGATCCTAAGCTAGGCTAGGAGGAGTCTCCCAACTCCAGGACCTTGTGCATCCTACCTCTGGTTTTTTGGGAGCATGGACAGGCCTCCCTGTTCCGGCAACCTGCTCTGTGTGAGGCACACCAAGACTGCCCTGCCTTCATGGGGGGCAGGCTCCCCAAGCAGCCCATGGCTACCTCCACCCCGGGCACCTCCACTTCTCACCGAGATGCCCTCTGCCTCCCCCTCCACACACACACACACATCTTGCTAGGATGGTGCAGGTCCTGGGCACCCGGGCAGTCATGGAAGCTGGTCCTAAAGGCTCAGCTTGAAGTCCCCCTCCATAGAAGCAGTGTGCACACTAGGTCTGTCACTTCCCAGTGTCCCAGTGTCCCAAGTGGGACGTTCCTGGTTATAACCCAGCTCATGGGATTGGGCTTTGGAATTTCAGACTCAAACTTTCTCTCTCTCTCTCTCTCTCTCTCTCTCTCTCTCTCTCTCTCTCTCTCTCTCTCTCTCTCTCTCTCTCTCTCTCTCTCTCTCTCCCCTTCCCTCCAGTAGAACATGGTTATACCACCAGATTTTTCAACCTAGGGGCAAGAGGGGCTAAAGGAGCCAAAGGGAAACACAGGGGGTATTGGGGACTGTTGTAACAAGATGCCACAAGGAGATGAGATATTTCCAAGTCTTCTGACTTAAGCTGAAAATCCTAATTTCTCACAAGAACTCTCCCAGTATGAAATGTCCACAGCAATCAATGTTTAAACACTTTGAAGCAAAAAGAAATGTCAGAGGTCAAATTGAGCTCAGAATCTATCTACCAGGCTGTGGCTTCTGTTGGATGCTCAGAAGATGCTGGTGAGGTTATGGCAGGAAGAGGGTGGGGAGAGGGGGTGCTCGCTGAAGGCATAGCTGGTGGTTCTCTCATTGGGTTCTTGCCTCCTTTCCCCCTTTTTCTCCTGGCCTCCTTCCTCCTCCCCCCATCCTCCTCCCTTCTCCCTGGGAGAGCTACCTCACCACATCGCTCCACCTCATAACTCCCCCACAGCCTCGGGCCAGGCACACTGCTCACACCTGCCAGCACCCCTTGAGGCTGGAGCCCCAGCTGAGGCAAGGGTCTGCCAGCCTGGACCCAGAGTCAGACCAGCTCTTCCTCCTGCTGTCACTTCCTGCCTTGGTCCAGTCCAGCAGACACTAGACACTCCTAGACTCATCTCACTGTGGTTCAGGCTCATTTGGGCTGGGTCCCCTCATCTGTTTCCTTTCCACTTCAGTGTGAAGCTCTGGGAAGTCCCACAGCATAAGTGGATCCACCTTCCTCTGCAAGGTGACAGCTTATGTCCCTTGTGGTGACACAAATGCAGCTATAGAACATTCACTGCCCTCTACCCAGTGCTGACCCTCAGTAATGGAGATGAAGGAATAAACAAGAGGAACAGGACTGGCCCATGGAGTCCACAGCCCAAGTGGGAGAGAGAAGTGACCTAGACAAGTGACCTAGAAGATGACCTCAGGTTGGGACAGAGATACTTTTACAAAGCAAACTTAGAAGCCGTAGTTGAGTGAGCCGGTGAGGGGGGTGGGGCTGCTCTGGAGGCAGGGTGGCCTCTTTGAGGTGTAAAGTGACACCTGATGTAGGCAGAGGAAGTGCAAAAGGCAGGAGTGGTGACAGCCTGGGGTTTGAGGAACAGGAAGAGGCCAGTGGAAGAGGTTGTGTTAGGAGGAGGCCAGCGGGAGGCTGAGACCTTGGAATTTATTCCAAGTGTCACCAGAGGCCAGGGAGGGGCCAGTAAGGGGTGACCTAGATTTGGAGCTACGTGATTGGTATAGGGGGTCCACTAACCTCTTCTCTTTCCTTCAGTGTACGTTTGAAAATTTCCACTGTAAAAAGTTTAAGATATAAGATACTGCTGGTGTTTTTTTAAATATATGGTGATCACCAATCTCTAGGGGTTGCCAAGGACGGGTGACTAGATACGACAGCTAGCACAGAGAGGCCTGACCCAGGACAGTCAGTTCTACGGTCCCCCTTCTCCCACGCGTGCCCAGCCATCAGCAGCCCCCCTACCCACTGTTCTCCAGCAGGTGCAAGCAGCCAGAGCGAGGGCTGCAGGAACTGGGGTGACGGGGTTCAAAGTGAACCCCAGCCTGAGCCCAAGCCAGCCCCGCCCTGTCCTGTCCCGCAGCGATGACCGCAGCGCGAGTCACCGGGGGCAGCTCCGCTCCGCCTGCGCTTACTTCTCTGGAACTCGAGCTGGCTCCGCCCACCCCGTACTCCTGGGTTCTGATTGGCCGATCCCCGCGAGGGAGTGTGTCAGAAGAAAAGATGGAATGCAGGGCGTGGGCGTGGTTGGGCGGGGCCGAGCTGGGGCGGGCGGGGCCAGTCGAGGATGGGCGTGGCCTGGCGGGGCAGGGCTGTGCAAAGCTCAAGAACACCGCTGCGAAGAGCGGACTCTGGCCAGCGGCGGACCGGGGCCGCGGGGCCGGGGCTGCGGGGCTGGGCAGCAGAGCGCCGGCCGACAGGTAAGCCTCTCCTTCTTGGCCCGATGCGGGGCATGCGGGCTTCCCTCCGCGGTGCCCGATCACGGCTCGGCCATCGTGGGAAGGTCCCTGACTCTTAGCTGGTCACTTGCTTGCGGGACAGGGCTCCCCACGGCTCCACGCTGGGGAACTCGGGCCGAGGCGGGGTCTAGAATTTGCGTGATGGTGAGTGAGGCGGATTCTGAGGCCCCTGAGCTGCAGGGATCCAAGCGCACCCCCTGTCTTCGGGCCTGGATGGGGGTCTCCTCCGTGTCTGAAGGGTCTGGAGACTGGGAGCTCTTTCCAGGTGGCTTCTCGTTTAGGAACTGCAAGGTCCCCAAAGATTGGAGCTTGGGAGCTGGGGTTGGGGGAAACTGTCGTAAGAAGCAGGGATAGGAGGGACCCCCCCACTTTCAGGTCACACGGGAAGTTACTGAGGTCAGCCCACAGACAGAGGAGGCCTGGACTCTTCCTCCCTGTCTGCAGAAGACCTAAAAGTACAGGCGAGACATGTCGCCAGCCCTCTGCAGGCAGGAAAACTGAAGTTCCAAGTCACCCTGAAACTTGATCTTCACAGCTGGGGGGCAGTCTTGGAATTTCAACTGAGTTGCTATCAGCACCAGAGGGGTCAGAGGCCAAGGAGGAGGGCGATCGGTGCTGGAGAAGTGGTGCAGGGTCCACCATTCCCTCTGGGTCTGTGTAAGCTGAATGGGACCCACCTCGCCTGCCTGCATTCTGCCCTGCCCACGTCAGCCCCCAGGGCTGCCAAGACAGGCCAAGCTGCTGGGCTGAGCAAAGGGACCTGTCTAACCCAGCTGGCTAGGAAGGAAGGGGGTCTAGCCAGTGTGGCCTGGAGGACAGGACAACTCCACCAAGCTAGTGGACCTGCCAGCCACCCTGAGTGAGTGTGTGTGGTGGTGGTGGGAGGAGGTCAGGAATTTAAAGAAGGGTTCACCCTCTGCACGTAAGGAATTCTGATTCTGGTTCTGGTTGAAAGATCAGGGCTATTTTGGAGCTGGGCTACTGGCCCAGGATCTGGGACAGTGACTGATGGTAGTTGGTGGCACTTTCCCCAGAGGGTCTTTTAAGAAGATTAGTTGAGATAATACCTGCAAATGTGATTAACATTGGACTGGTGAGCTGTAGGCACTAAGCAGATGCCTACATTGGAACCCATTGATCCTTTTCTTCTTTACTGGTCTTTTTTTTTTTTTCTTGGAAGAGTGCCTTCCAGAAAGCAGGGGGGCGGAGAAGCCCTTCTGGGATTCTAGGAGGCGGGGACCTTGGATCCTGGAAAGTCCCTCATGCCCTTGGAATAAAACTCAAAACCTCACCTCCCTTGGGCTGCAAAGCAGCCCCTGCCAACCCACCCCTCCAACCTTCACCCTTGCCCCTTATCCTTGCCTCCTAGCTCCTTCCTGGGTTCCAGGATCCCAGACATCTGTCACTAGTCCTAAAGTTTGTATTTCAAGTGGGCAGTAGCCAGTGATGGGTTTTGTGATGTCAGAATTCCACGCGGTTCTCAGGTGTGTCCTTGGAATAGGTGTATTATGCACCTTACAGGTGGTGTACACCAAGCCATGTAGTCTGGGCAAATGGTGTTGTGTTTAGAAATGCTGGTGGAGGGGGTGGGGAGGGGAAGGCTTGGTGTGGATTTTCAGCTCTGGTTGTAGATCATGTCTGTGGTTTGTCACACACAGCATCCACGCCACCCTGTGACCCTCAGGATGGGGCTCAAAAGCCATGGTGCTCTCTGTGAGCCCCTTCAGTCTTAGTGTAGGTGGGGGGAACTGCTCAGCCAGGAACCCTTCTGAACCTTCAGGGAATATTCAGTTCTCTTCATTCTGGTCTTCTGATTATGGCAGTGTCCTCCCCTCCATTAGTGGCCTGGTGCCTTGCTGGGGTCAGCACAGGCATTTTCCAAGACCCAAGCAGGCTGAGGGAGTAAGGCCAGGGTTCAGCTCTCTTCCTGGTCCTCAGAAACAAAGGATTCTCAGGCTGCTGTGTTTACCATGAAAAACCTCAGCCCATGGCAAACCAGGGCGGGAAGTTACAACCGCATCCGGAGGGTGGGTGAATGTGGGGGAGCCCCCGGAAGGATGGTGTCTGCCCAGGGCCCTGGCCCAATCTCAGTGCTGTGTAGGTGCACAGAGGATGGGGCATGAGCACCATCTGGTTGCCCTGATTGGTATGTGGGGTCAGCTCAGAGCCCAGACCCCTTAGTCTACCCTTTCTGACCCACGCTTGCCTCCAGCAGCTGGACAGCAGCCATCAAGGCTTGGAGGGGTCTGTCAGTGTCAAGCTGCCCCTCGTGTGTACGTGGTGTCTCAGTGAACATACCATTTCGAGGGTTGTTTTTTGCCCGGCTCAGCTGTGTGGTCTTCACTCTGCATTGATCTGCTTACCTGACCGGAACCAAATCCCATAGCCCGTGGGCACACAGCACTTAGGGACATTAAGGGACACAATTCTGGTTTTACCAGGTTGTCCATCAACCAGGGACCTGGTGATCAAGTAGCATGATGGCCCCGCCTGTCACTGACAGTCCCCTAGGTTTTTAATATGCCGCAAAGTCAGCAAACTAAAAATAGCAGTTCTTACATTAGGTGTGGGTGTATGTCTCAGGTGCCCTGCAGTCTGAGGGGTCTGAGAGGTCTGGTATCCTCTCTGTGCAATGCATCCAGCCCCAGTGCTGCCCTCCCACTGGTGGCTTGGCTCACACACCTGCAGCTTGGTTGCCCAGAAAGACCTGTGTGTGATGAGCTAGACCAGGGACCAGCTACGTGTGCTAAACACAGAGGCGCTCACCTGCTTCCTCTGCAGAGGTGAGGACTGACCAGACATGGAGGGTCCTTGATCGGGAGTCTTGGAAAGTTTGCTCAGTCACCGGCCACTTACAAAGCACCCACTGTGCGCATGGCACAGCTTCAGGAATTGGTGACACAGCAGTGGACAAGAAAAGGCTTCTGTTCTCATGGAGCTAAGAATTGAGCGGGGGAGATAGAAATAGCACAAGCAAACAATGACTAGATAAGAAAAACCAGGTCCTGATAAGTCCCTTAAAGAAAAAAAATAGGATGATGTCATGCCAAAGAGTCTGTAGATTTTCTCTATAAAGGTCAAGATGAGCCAGGTGTGTTGTTATACAGCTATAATCCCAGCTACTTGAAGAGTAGAGGCAGGACAATCAAGAGTTCAAGACCAGCCTGACACCGTAGCTCACTTCTGTAATCCCAGCTACTCAGGCAGGAGGATCCCAATTCAAAGCTAACCCCAGACAAATAATTGCGAGACCATATCTCAAAATACCCCACACAAAACAGGGCTGTGGAGTGGCTTAAGTAGTAGAGTGCCTGCCTAGTAAGCATGAGGCCCTGAGTTCAAACCCCAGTACTGCCAGAAAGAGAGAAAAAAGAGAAAAGGAAAAGTACCAGATGCTAACTCTTTTAGGTTTTGGGTCCATCATTACTTAGAGCATAGGAGTAGCCACAGAAGATGACGAATGAATGAACATGGCTGTGTTCCAATAAAACTTTATTTATGCCAGCACCAGTGGCTCACCTGCAATCCCAGCTACTCGGGAGCAGAGATCAGGAGGATGGAAGTTCAAAGCCAGCCCAGGCAAAAAGTTGGGGAGACCCCCATCTTGAAAAAAACCCATCCCAAAAAAAGGGCTACTGGAGTGGCTCAAGGTGTAGACTCTGAGTTCAAACCTCAGCACTGAAAGAAAAGAAAAAAAACCAAAAAGCTTTTTTATAAAAACAGCCTGTGGGCCAGATTGACTTCAGACCACCTGGCTTGGGTGGGAGAAGCTTCCTGAGTGGGTGGGAGCTAAGAGCAGGTCACAGGAAGGAGCCAGCACAGGACAGTCTGTTCCAGGTGAGGCGTGGCAGCCCCTTGCTGTGGATGTATTGGTCAAGTGACTGCTGAGAGGTGAGTGACGATAGTGAGCCGTGCTTGTAGATTGAATGCTGGACGTACAGCAGAGAGGAGATCGAGGGTGAGGCTTAAACTTGTGGACTGTGAACCTCTGTGTGAGGAGAAGAGCTGAGAGGAGCAGATCTCTGAGGACAAAATAAAATGAAAATATGGTTGACTTGGAGGAAGCACTCAGCATGTGGTCCCTGAGATGATGAGGGAGACTATCATCCGCCTGGTGCAGTCGGTCACCCTGGGTAAATGGTGGTGGGGGACAGGATCTATGATCAACTGAGTCCCAGACACCCCATCTTGCTTGGTGCCCCTGTGCCTTTCCAGCCAGAGGGCAGGCCCAGAATGCCCTGGGACTAGCTGCTGGGCGTGGGAGGCCCATTGTCCCAGCTTCCTTGCCCCCCCCTGAGGTGGCACCGTTGAGATATGCTGCACCATCTTCCAGGGATACTGAGCCTCACTGCCCACAAGTGCCACTCAGCAGCACCTGCCTACAGCCACCTTCCCATACCTGCCTGGCCTTCTGCTCCTACCGAGTTCCCTTCGCCACCCAGTGACTTCTCATTTTCTGTGTGTCATGTCTGTGGTTGGGAGGCTGGGCTGGCTTGCTGACCACAGGTAATGGGTCGTCTGGCCTGGCGGGTTGGTGAGGTGGAATGGGCAGTGTGGCTCTGTCCCCGGCTGTGACTGGCTGAGCTAATGCCCTCCCCGGTCTGCCTTCTCCTCCAGGGAAGATGGTGGACCACTTGGCAAACACAGAGATCAACAGCCAACGCATTGCAGCAGTAGAAAGCTGCTTTGGGACTTCGGGGCAGCCGCTGGCCCTGCCAGGCCGGGTGCTGCTGGTGAGGGAGTGCTGACCAAGGAGTGTCGCAAAAAGCCAAGCCACGCATCTTCTTCTCTCAATGACATCCTGGTGTATGGCAGCATTGTGCTCAACAAGCGAAGGTACTGCAGCCAGCATATCATCCCACTAGAGGAGGTGACACTGGAGCCACTGCCCGAGACTCTGCAGGCCAAGAACCGCTGGATGATCAAGACAGCCAAGAAGTCCTTTGTGGTGTCAGCTGCCTCCACCACGGAACGCCAGGAGTGGATCAGCCACATCGAGGAGTGTGTGCGGCGACAGCTGCTGCCACGGTCACCAGCCAACCACAGAGCACGCCGCGCCCTGGATCCCTGACAAGGCGACAGACATCTGCATGCGTTGCACACAGACACGCTTCTCTGCGCTCACCAGGCGCCACCACTGTCGCAAGTGTGGCTTTGTGGTCTGCGCTGAGTGCTCCCGGGAGCGCTCCTGCTGCTCGCCTGTCACCGAAGCCCTGCGCGTCTGCAGCCTCTGCTACGCGAGCTGGCCGCCCAGCAGTGCAAGGAGGAGGGGGAGCAGCAGGGAGGGGACTCCCCGGGGCAGCTGGCCCACCTGGGTGGGCCAGGTGGAACATCCAGCTGTGACGATGACGACTCCGATGAGGACAGGACGTCAGCTGGCCCAGTCGCGTGGAGTTCTACACCTCGGGGTCTCCTGGTCATCCTTCCATAGCTGACGCTGATCTGTGGAGCGTCTGTGTCTGAGCCAGCCAGGCTGCTACCCAGAGCCCATGAGGATGGGTCCTGAGCTGTTGAGAACCTCTGGACACTTGCCCTGTGATGGGCACAGAGAGTACTCTCCCTCTGCATTCCAGGGCCTTTTGGGGACATCATCACCCTTGGTTTGCTCTTGGAGCAAATGCCAGTTCTCTGTGCCACAGGCTGAAGCAGCAGCTCCAAAGAGCCCCTTAAAGTGGACAGTGCAGGTACCGTGGGCATGGAGGGAGCAGACATGGCTCAGCGACACAGAGAAGACAGGACAAGACTGAGCACCACTCTGCCCCGAGGCCTGCAGGTTTCATTCTTACCCCCAGGCAAGTGCACCCCATGGAAAAGCACAGATGGGTCCAGGGAAGACTCAAGGTCAATGCACCCACCATGCCTGCCACCCTCTGGTGGCCTCTGGGCCATGCCATGGAGCTCACCCAAGCCAGGCTAGAGGCTGACGTGCTGTGGGTGCCCACCAGGCCCAGAGACGGCAGCCTGCACTCCCACGGCTCAGCACAGCATTTCGAGGACTTTCTATCGCACCCTTCTCCAGGTATCTGCCATCAGCCCTCCCTGCCAGCAGGGAATGCAATGTTTTCTGTTAAGATTCTTAGGTTTGAAAGACAAACCCTACCCAGGCTGATGTCCTAATAAAGTTAGTTGACTCAGAGTTGCAAAGTCTAGGAACATCCTTGCCTCAGACACACTTCAATCCAGGGCCAGGGACAAAAGTCAACGCTTGTCCTCCATTCTGAGCATTCCCGGAAAGGCAGGCAGCCCAACGAAGCAGAGGTCCACACTGTACCATGGCTGGACAGTCCCTCTGGGTGAGGGGACTGTGGACTCACGGTGTGCACTGCCTAAGTGGATGGAATAGGAAATCAGGAGGTTTTGGGGTTTTTTTAGTGGTACTGGGGTTTGAACTCAGGGCCTACACCTTGAGCCTTGAGCCACTCACCAGGCCTTTTTGAATAGGATTTTTGAATAGGATCTCACAAACTATTTGCCTCTGGCTGGCTTTGAACCCTGATCCTCCTGATCTCCGCCTCCTGAGTAGCTGGGATTACAGATGTGAGCCACCAGCACCCAACATGTGTTAGGTATTTTCGAGATAGGGTCTCTCGAACTATTTGTCCAGGCTGGCTTTGAAACTTGATCCTCCTGATCTCTGCCTCCTGAGTAGCTAGGATTACAGGTGGAAGGCACCGGCACCCAGCTCAGGAGCCACTTGTCTGGATCTTCCTGGGGCTGCAGGATGAAAGTGATCTCCTGTGCAGTCTCTTGTCCAGCAGCTGGGGATGGTGACTTTGGGTAGGGAAACTGAGTCCCAGGTGTAGCCACTAGCCTTGCTCAGAGTACATGTGTGTTGGGACTGGAATTGGAAACCCAGCCTCCTGACACCTGTCCTGTGTGCTGACACAGAGCTGCAGGGCCCCTGAGATGGCCACCTGCAAGGGCTCTTGGGCCAGCTTTGCCCAGTGCCTTGCAGGCCATAGCCAGACCCCCTGCAGCATGGGGTGGGCTCACCTTCAGCTAGAAGTGACATGGGAGCCAGAAAGCTGCCCCTCCCCCCAGCCCAGCTGGCCCAGTCTAGCGCAGCACTGGACTCCACTGCCCAGAGGAAGGCACGGTTAGGGCTCAGCTGTCCATATGCAGACAGTTTGAGCTGGGCACATTCTGCCACAGCAGCCCAGCCAGCAACCTACAGGACATGCTTGGGTGACAAAGCCTACTGTTAGTCAGCTCCAAGAGTGAGCTGAGGGTAAAGAATGAAGTGCCCGGCCTCTGCCTGCGACTCCCCAGTGGGCAGAGTGACCAGCTGGGTGGTGCTTCCAAGAAGGACTTGTTTTGTTTACCGGTCACTCTCTCCTTGGCGTCCTCAACCACCCAGACTGGTTCAGGCTGTTCTGCTGCCTGGGCAGAGGGCACAGGGCCAGATGGGTCATGAGGTGAGGAGCAGCTTCCTAAAGACAGATCTGATGTCCTCTCAGAAGTCCAGGGCAGGCGTCCCTGTCCCTTCCCCCAAGGCTGATGTCAGGGCAGGGGAGACAGGCTTCTGTGCTGGCTTCTGGGTCACAGTTCCACTACCCTGGAGCCCCTCTTGCCTGGAAGTGCTCAGGATTTTCAGGGTAGAGTTCACGTGAGCGGGGAAGGGACTAGACCCTTCAGTCGCCTGATGGGGTTAGGACAGCAGGTTCCTGGGCAGGAAAACGGAGTGGCCAAGGGTTTTTTGGCACTGTGAGGGTAGAGTTAGAGGAGAAGGACGCTGGCTCGCCCCTCAGCCCAGCACACAGGGCTGGGACAGGGGTGCGCGTTCCTGAGCGGAGGTTGTCACCTGCAAGGACCAAGTGCTTAGGGTGACCAAAGACCTCTGGAAAGCCCTCATTAATGCCCACTCGCTCAGGGCTTGCTGTGTGTCTTTCAGGTACTGGGGACAGAGTGAGCTGAGCAGGGACCTGGCTGTGTGGGCTGTGCCGGGTGGCTATGATGGGCTGTGACAGGCGCTGAGGCTGGCACTGGGGTGCAGCAGGCAGCACTAGGCCAAAATGAGTGCACACTGGATGGGGAGGGAAAGCTGACCATGCCAGCTAGGGAGATGGCCCCTGGCTGGTGCCAAGGCCCTGAGGAAGAAACGAGCCTGTGTGTCCTGCAGCAGTGGGGCTGGATGGCCGATGTGGGGACATTGGAGCCACTGGGGGCTGCTGGGGGCAGCAGGTCTGTCTTTGCTTTTAAGCACTCACCCTGACTGCTGTGTGCAGGTGGGAGGGAGGGAGAGCCAAGTTGGGCAGGTGTGGTGGCCATCAGCTCCAGGATGTCCCTGGGGGCCTAGATTCCATCCAGGCCACACTGTAGTAGCCATGCCACCTGTGCCTGTACATGGGAGGCTGTCACTGTCCTCACCTTCTCCCAAAGGATGAGAAGTTAAAAGTGCCCACCTCATATCAGCCTCCCATGGGTTGCATGCCTGCTCTGGGTCCATGAGGTTTGAGTGACAATTGTGCATGAGGGTGAGTGACGATCGGAGGCTCCACCCTGGAGCATAGAGGCACGTGCTAGCAGGAATCGGGGTTTCATGAAACAGAAAAATGGAGACCCAGTCTGTTGAGGCTGGGAAGGGCAGAAGCTGCCTAGGTGACCTGTTTCCAACCCCAGCAGATCTGTCTCTTTCTAGGGACAGCCTGGCCTGCCAGGCTGGGGACAAGGGCAGCCATGCTGTGACCTGCCTACCCAAGCTGTTCTCAGAGAGGTGCACACCTGCAGAGGGAGGGAGTAATGACATGCCTCTCACATAGAGTGGGGTTCCGTGTCAGGCTGCTCAGATCCTGCCAGCTACAACAATTGTGAGTCAAATACCCTGCCTCAAGCAGATAGGTCCTTTGACTCACGCAGACCCAGGTTCACACAGGAGCCAGGAAGGAGATTATATACTTTATTAACCACTATAGCCATCAGTCAGTCAGTCAACCAGCACCCATCAGCAAAAGCCACAGCAACAGCTCAGTGCAGAGGGTTTTATACCAATATAAAGCAAAGGGTCACCTAGCCAAGTTCTTACATCTACTGGGCGTGGGAATCCAGTCATTACTTACATAGTTACAAGTAGCCATCCTGGAGTGGTTACAAAGTAACAGTGCACTTTTCCCTAGAGTGCCCTGTGTACAGGTGATTAGCTTAATAGATTAGCTGAATAATCACTTTCCTTACAGACGGACACACTTCTTAGACAGGGGCTCACCTGGGTGGGGACACTTGTCAGAGAGGGAGGAAGACATTTGCCCACCTGGAGGAAGACACACTTCTCAGAGAGGGGCTTCCTGGAGTGACACACCTCTCAAAGAGGGGCTTACCTGGGGGGGGCACTTCTTAGATTGGGGTCCCTGGCAGGCAGGAACAGGATCCTCAGGATGGACTTTGGGGTTTCTGCTCTTGACAAGTGTTGGTCCCCAGAACAGAGCCGAGGTCTAGCAGGAGCATGGAGCCTGCTGGGCTGGGTCCCGGCCCTCATGCTGCTGCCTGGGTTTTGCTCACGAGGCCTGGCAAGGACATAAGAACCAACTGTCCTGCCAGCCAGCTGCTGCTGTGGCCATCTGCCTGTGTGCCCTCCCAGCTGGGCATGGGTTTGTGTCCCATCCGGAGCTGATCCTCCTTACAGGTCTCCCCTGACCTTCCTAGGGGGACGCAGAGAGACGGGGAGGGCCAGGCCTGGACACTTGCAGGGCATTGGGCCCCATGACTCACCTTAGCATTGCCTGAACTGCCCTTGCAGGAGCCAGCCCAGGTGGGAACACTCCAGAGGAGGCGAGTGCCAGCTGTGACCCCAGGGCCTTTGGGAACAGGTGACAGGCAGGTCTCCCTTGGAGTTCAGTGGGGGAGCCCTGTCCTCACAGGACTTGGACCCTCAGGGAGGCCTTTCTTCAGGGGTACCCCAAGCAGCCATACCAAGCGGCCCCACCTGCCGGGATGTTCAGAGGCCAAGTTCTCCTAGAGAAGAACCCACTGCGTGGGGGCTGGTGACATTCAGGTAACCCTGCCCAGGGGCAGGGAGGGAGGCAGGGGGCTTGCAGGACCCCAGGAATCTCAGCTGCTGCTGCTGCAGGAGGTGACTTCACCACCTGAGGTCTGTCCATCACAGAGCCAGGTCACACGGGGCCATCCTAAGGCAGACGAAGGCATCTCCTGAGCTCTGAGAGACAGGCAAGGCCAGAGGAAGACTCTCCCAGGACAGACGGGGGGCTTCCTGGAGGAGGCTGTATTTGGTTGTGCCTCAGAAGAGTGAGACTTTATCAAGGGTTTGTGTGTGTGTGTGTGTGTGTGCTTTATTTATGGAACACTGCACAAATTTGCATGCTTTCCTTGCACAGGGGCCATGTAATCTTCTCTGTATTATTCCAGTCTTAGTACAAGTGCTGCCAGAACTAGCACTTGTGTTTTTTTCTTTTAATATGGCCCCAAAGCACAGGAAACAAATGAGGTTGTGTCAAACTGAAAAACTATTGCACAGCAAAGGAAATCAGCAGAGTGAAGAGACAGCTGACAGAGGATGAATACATAAGGAACTCAAAAAAAAAAAAAAACACCAAAAAGCAGGGGGTGGTGGTGCACACCTATAATCCCAGCACTTGGGAGACTGAGGCAAGTTTGAGGCCATCCTGGGTTACATAGGGAAACCCTGTCTCAACAAAAAGAAAAACAACAACAACAAAACCCCTGAGTGATCCAGCTTTTAAAAATGGGCAAATGATTTGAATTTACACTTCTGAAAAGAAGAAAAACAGGTTCAGGGCTGGCAGAATGGTTTAAGTAATAGAGCACCTGCCTAGTAAGTGAAGGCCCTGAGTTCAAATCCCCAAAATAAAAAAGAGGTGGGGATAAAGGACCCATTCCCAAAGTTGATGGGAACGTACATTAGTGCAGCCACTCTGGAAAGAGGGTGGAGGTTCCTGAACTGAACAAGATCTGCCCCAGGGATGCATCCAAGGGAAACAAAGTCAGGATACCAGAGCAACTCCCACAAAACAGCCAAGACAGAACTCAGACTAGTGACTGTCCATGGATGACTGGGACTCTGACTCTTTGTGTGAACTGTCCCATCTTGTCCTTGGAGTTATGTGTTTGCTGAATGACTGAATGATTAGGAAATGGGGCTGGAGTC